TTCCCTACATGCTAATTCCGTTTCCTCAATAAGTATTCTATCTGAACAAGCAACGAGTGTTTCTGTCTACAAAATGTTGTCTTCTCACGAACGTACAGGTTAGGAATCTCGTGAAGATCTTGGGTTTGAGTCTTCTGACAACATGTGCTGTGATGCTTCCACAAAACAGTGTCTTTTACACCCACCTCCACAGAAAGCTTCCAAAGAAATATATATAAAGAAGCAGTCCCACCTTTTTAACACTGATGGCAACAGCTTCTTTTTGACTGTAATCATCTACAGTAAGGTCACTTCCAAATTTGTACTCTGGATGAGCTTCCTCTTCCTGGTCAGCTGCACAGAAGAGAAAAAGGATCAGTGTGGAAAGCACAGCATCTACGATTTTTCTGTGAGACGTGGAACAAATGGCAGTTGAATACACAGGTTTGGGCTTTTTTTAAAAACTGAAATAAAATCCAGGGTATTACATTTCCAAGCATTAGTAGTAAATTACAGCTAAGGCCTGAGATTCTTACAGCTCTGACATGGTTAGTAACAGGAATTTTATTTACTGTAATTTTGAAGGAATCAGTAATTTGCTTCACAAATGTGTAAAAAAAACCCCAAACAGTAGGCTTGGGGAAATAACAAGAAATGAAGATAGAGTCTCTATTTAAAGATGTAAAAAGTTGCTGGTGTCCAGGCTTCTCATATGCATTGTTAATCCCTCCTTCTGTGCCCCTACTATAGGGAATCATTTTCATTCGCTTTTAAGACGATTTTTCATTAGAACCTAGTGTACTCAAAGAAGTTAAAAGGCCTCTTACAAACATAAAACCATTAATCACATTATTCATATGGATTTAAACAATAATTTTAGAAAACACTTCTTTGAGCCTGTTGGTAGTCTAGCACATAATTAGTAACAGCACAGTAAGAACACTATTAGAAAATAAGCATTCAAATGGAAATCAGCCTGTGAAACAACAGAATCTCCTCTTTGCTTCTTGATCACCTCAAGAAAGATACTGAGAGGCTTCTCCAAAAAACCGTTGTCTTTCAGTCTCTTTAGCATTGCAAGGACAGACACCAAGATTTGGAGCACAAAGAGCATCTTTCACATGGACCTGTACTGACTGCAACAGCAGTGGCTTAGGGCTGGTTAAAAACCAAACCAAACCCAAACCCACCCCAAAACCAAAACAATACCAAGGAGAGGACCAAGGGGTTGGCTAAAGCTGAGACATTCAGTGCGACATGGGTACCTTGGTTCAGACACTTGCAGGCAATGCATGATTTACCTCTTCTGAAGTCGGACATTTAAAGCAGGCAAGGTGAATCACAGCTTAGATATGTCTATTTTTCCTCTGATGGCCATAAACACATTCTACATCACTGGCTCAGATCTAGATGTTTACACTGAAGATATCTGAAGTTTGGCAAGAAAAATCCTATCCCTCATTTTCTCCTTATAAAGTATATTGTAATAATCCAATCTGATGTTGACACAAGTAGTAAAAATAGAGACAAATCTGTTTTCAAAGCAAAGATCACGGCTTCCCAGTCTCTCACGCACACACATATACACACAGTGAACATCTGACTTGGGGAAGTTCAGATAACTTCTGAACAGTAAGTGGAAGTTAAAATTACCACTAGTACCACCAACTGAGTTCATGTTCCTACCAGAGCCTGCCTCAGACCACGGGCACGTGGGTAACATGCATAGTAACTGCTCATGCTGGCCTACTGATTTACTACAGGCAATGTTTGAGAGCCCTTCTCTATGAAAACCTCACCACTTTCTATTTCTTCTTCATTATCATCCTCTAGGATATTTACAGGAGCAGCAGTTTCCCCAGCTTCCATCATCTTTTTCAGAGCATCAAGCTGTTCTGTTAATAAGAAAAATAAAAATAAATTAGTCATGACATGAACAGTTTGTAGCACAAAGAAATACATGAGAACAATCATAAATGATTCTCTGATCCCAAGAGCTAGTTTTATTTAATGGGTTCTCTAAGTTTTTAGTTAGCAATAAAATTTTACAGAGTAAGAGCATCATTAGACACACACTGTTGTTAGATCTGAAAAGTGGTCAATAAGGGCTGTGTCCAAGGCTTACTGAAGTTAAGAAAAATATTTCCACAGACTGTGAAAATCTTTGGAGCAAGCATATTACTCCTCAAAGAGCAAATACACAGCTATCTCTTTGGTGCTTGAGCTATGCAAATGAAGGCAAAGTGCTTGGATTTTCAATTGTGTCCCCATGTGCGTTTCAGTTAGACAGTGTGAACCCAATAATGTATGTCTGAAGTCGGTGGAAGGTCTGCATGCTTATCTTCCCATGGAGAAGGATCAAGGTTTATCACTACAGCCATACTGGAAACTAATATAGCAACATTATTATTACTGAAAGAAGATAAATATCAGAGCTGGCAACAATTGCAAGAAGAGCAATTTGAAATTCCATTTCATTTTAAGCTTATCCTAGAAAAACACAGCAATGCAAACACACCAGTGTAGGCAGAATTTACAAGAGATTCTATCTGAGTTATATTTTAGCTCAACCAGCAATCTGATAAAAGTCCCAGGTTGACATTTCTAGGTCTATCTGTGCCTGTGCTACACGCTGATATCAAGGTCTAAACTCTGGCACTCATATGAAACACAAGGGTAAACAAAGTGTCATTTACATATAATTCATATTCTTCCAACACTAAAGTACAAGTAGATTGGAAGCTTTAGTTACAAAGTCTATTCCTATTTCTGTGGACTTTTGTTTAATTTAAGAGTTGACAAGATTTACTTACTTTTTTCTACTTCAGGTTTCAGCCTTTTATTCTTTATGAGAATCTTTCTTTTGAGGTCATTAGGAGAAGGTAAGGCTTTACCTGGATCAAGCTGTAAAATAATTTAAAGGAAAGGCTTAATAACAGCTATTTGGCCTTTGTATCTGTATTTGGGATTTTGACTTCAGGGCAGCAATGGTCAGGGGCAGTGAACAAGCAGTGCCACCTTAGGCACAACCCTGGGAGGTAGTGTGACTGCAGTTATATTGTCTCCTCTGCTTCTTCCCTATCCCACGGGAAAGCTGTGCTCAGGTGAAATGTTGCTACACGTTGGTCTCCAGCCCATGCCATCCTCAGCTGCACTGGTGAAAACATCTCCTCCTCCCTCCCGCCTAGCAGTCGGCACGGACATGACCAGCAGCTCTTCATCAGAGGACCTCCTACTTTCCCTCTCTCCCTGTGTTTCACACACAGTCCAAGCCAAAGTTTAGCCCATTATCATCTGATCTCTAAATAAGTGACCTTTTATAGTCCCTTCAAGCTGTAGTAATGCAAGGGAGACAGCCCCCACCTACTGACAGAGCAGAAATGGGCTGGCTTTGGTGAATGGAAAACTACCCAGTCTTTAGCTAGGTGATGAGGACGGTTTTTGTCAGTAGGGCTGCAGGGTCACATCTTCAGTATTTGTGAAAGACAAATGGCAAGTTTCACATGCACGAGTGAGTACTACTAAAAGGCTTAGTCCAGTTTGGGGACGGAGAAAAAATATGATTGAGAAAAGATAAAAAGTACAAATCCTTGTGATTTAAGCCCCACCACATTATTAAGGCTAAAAAGGGATTTGGGTACGGTAATTAGCAACCTCTCCACCTCAGGCTTGCTAAGAACATCATGCAGGGAGTTGCTGGTATAATGGACTATGGTTTCCAGTGAACCTTAAGTTATACAGGAGTAGAAGATATTTCCAGAACTACTAAAAAACTCTCAGAAGAAATATTCAGATATTCTTCTCCTTAAATCCAACTCTGAGCTATGCAAAGCAGCATTCTAATGAAGAAACAAAAGAACAAAGCACCACAACTTGAAACCAAATAAAAGCAGCAGAGGTGACAAATAACAAGCCAGCAAAAAAAACCCAAATCAACCCAACCTCACAAGAATGGGTGCAAACCTCCTTGCAGGAGGGTAATGATTATGCACAACCACCAGTCATGGGAGTTGCAGCGTGTTGGATGAAATGACGATTGTTCCTAAGAGCGCTTGGATTGCAATTCCACTAGATGTCAGTGCCGCAGAGCTCATTTATCCCCAGGCTTCCCGGAAGGCAGTCTGCATCCCCAAGCACAGGGCATAGCGGGATGCCCATGAGGACAAATATTTGCTTTTACTTAAAACCAAATCTCCTTCAGCCAGTGCCACGTCCCTCTGTTCTGGCCTTCTCCATCAGGCCAGGTATCAGAAACCAAGCACTCATAAACCAAACATTTCAAGCCATCTCTGCAACATTTGCTTTGCCAGCAGCTGAGGACTGAACTCGCCCACGAGGAGGGACGGACACAGAATGCAGAAGGCTCAGCAGTGCTACAGAGCCCAGGCAGCTCTTAATACCGGGCCCTGGGGTAGCAGCCTTTGGCCAGCTCTGTTTTAGGCTTCCCCGAAAGCTGCTGGAAGCTGTTATTGGTGAGGAGCGTGGCAAGGTGGCTACATACATTACAGGGGAACACTCCAGATTGTGTTCTCTGGGATGCACTTTTCAGGGTAACAATCTGCCTTGTGCACCGAGCCTTGTGCACTGCTGTCCCTGCAACATGGAAGGAAAGCCAAGGAAAGCACAGCTCTGGAGATGAGAATACCAGCAGCCCCCTTCGCAGGGGTTATGTGGTCAGGAGCTGAAAGGCAAGGCAGACTTGTCTTTGCCATGGTCCCCAACGGCACTAAAAAGCATCTGCAGGTGGCTGCTGGCAGGCAGTGAGGACATTGCTCAGCAGAGTAAGGAAGGCCTGGAGGAGTAGCTGCAAGCACTGGGCAACAAGCTATGAACGACTCAAATACTGTGTTTGTGAAGGAGTGGCTGTTGTTATCTCCTGCCACACAGGAGGGTGAAGTGCATGCAGATTACAGTGCACTTGATAGTCCAAATGAGACTCCAGGGAACTCTTTGTGCTTAATTTAATTCTTAATGCAGTAGTGGGGGCCACCTAGACTGCAGGACCTGCTCTGGAGCAAGAAGCATGCAAAGTGCAGCTCCAAAGAAGAGGTTTCCTCAGCTGAGACCATGCAGTTTGTAATTAATTGGTTTTCAACAGTGGCTGGCAATTTCAGAGTTATGTATGACCTGCAAACACAATGTATGTGGTGCATTTTATGTAGGTGCTGATATTACGTCACACATCAAGGGGATGGATTTCCCCAGGCTGCTCGCCAGAGCCCTGTACAGGAAAGATTAAACAAATCAGATAAGGACAAGTTTGTGCCAAAAAGTGCAGACACCCAAAATCACTAGTCATTTTTGAAAGCACAGGACTGGCAGTGAACAGCCCTATAGGTGATTCGATCCCAGTTTATAATGTCTTTTATCTACAGTTAATATAAAAAAATAAAAAGACAGGCAGAATATAACATACTGGATGCGTTTCTAGAGGCTGCTTCAACAGGAGATCTCCAAAAAGGTCTTCACAGTATTTTGACATCTTGTACTGTTGATATTTGCTAAAAAAGATGATGTTGGTTAATTTTTAAATATAAAAAAAGAAATCATTATTACTCAGCAAAACAGAATGTACTAAGTAATGTAGATATCCCAAATTATATACTGCCCACTTTCTCACAAATGAGAAGTATTACATCACTGTAATTAAAATGTCAGTCTATTATCTGACACAGATGAATTTAGTAAGATTAACTGAATCCCACACAACTAACAGACCATCCAAATATTTCACAGCTTTACCACAGGTAAAAATATTGCCATTATTAAGCTAGATAAAGATTAAGTAGTGTATTAGAGTCTCTTCCAAGTGACATTCAGTATACTTTTTACGGTTTCCGAGTACACTCACATTACACTATGTTTAAGCTGTATCATCTCTCTCATACACGGCACTGCAAAAAAACCCCCAAAACACGCACTATATACCTGCAGTGATTTTCAAATGAAAGAATGACAGGATACTCTGATGTGACAAATGCTGTTTCCTTAATGGCTTGAATTACATCCTTGAAAATGGAATAAAAGGATTCAAATTACAACAGATCAAATTACAATCCTAATGAGATTTTTTTTTTTTGTTCTCCACCCCACCCTGAGAAACGAAGAGCTGAATCTCAAATGTGTCAAGTGAAGCCAGAACTCAAACTAATTGTATGCTCATCCTTCTCTGTTTCCCCGTAACAACCCGGACTCAGCACCCAAGAGCTGCCTGGAGCGGTGATGGCAGCTTCACCCACAGCCCATTAATGCTACCCCTGGATCTGCGGCCACGGCCTTATGCCAGGGAGAATGTCTACTCCCACAGTAACTCCTGCATCTTCAGGCTATTTCCACATTTAAGGAACTTCTCAGACAACGAAGATGATACTTATTCTGTGGTGCAAAGAGACACAGAATGTGAAAATATGGGGCAAACGAAGCAAGAAGCCTTCCTGCAGTTTCTCTGGAAAGGGGTGTATGATGTGAGTCAGAAATGAGATCCTGGGACAAGGAATGGTGCCTATGTGATTTGTTAGCCTGTCACCAGGGACCAGCATCTGGGGGCTGAGGAGGGGAGGATGCCCTGCATGGATTCTTGTCCAGGAGTTCTTCTGGGGCTTACTGCCAGGTGTAGAGGTGAGGCATTTACCTTGAAAAGAATATCTGTACACATTGCTTTTCCATGCGTTATTATTGGTTCTTGATCTTCACCTTTGCCATCCCAACAGTCCAGCTCAACACACCTAAAGACCCAAGGAAAATCATGTCAGCTTCCTCAGTGTTTCAGTACAGGCAAGCTACCTGGAGCAAGTTCTGAGCAGTGTTCAGAGCAGTAAGTTACAAAGGAGTTTGGGGCATTGCAGACTTCCTTTTTAGCTGTACATGTGTAATTTCAGCCTGCTTTTATAGCTTTGGGTATTACCTTATACTATATATATATACTAGATATATTACCTTAAATACACTATTTGTGGGTCAAAGTATATATTTACACCTGAACAATAATGTTTTTAGCACTGTAACACTCTTCTAATTTATTCTCTTGCTCAGTTAACTGTGACACATTCCAGTACATTAAAAAATTAAGCGGGAAATCATGAACCGATCCTCATTTACATGTAAACATCTTAATTACAAAGCAGAAAGCCCTCTGAAATTCTGCAGTTGTCATTTTGACATCAAACTTGTGTTATCTTTCTCACAACCCATCTCCTGACATAATTTTCTACGTTCCCCTTTCTGTGAGAAAAATAGTATCTTAAATATGTATATTATCATTTACTACACTAAGATATTTACACATTCAGTTATGGAATATGTCACCACCAAGGTATATTATGCAGGTTTAAAGTATTACATCCACAAATATTAAAGGCTGTTATCTCCTGCTTCCAACCTGCATCCAGCCAAAAGCACTTGTCTGTACATCTCCACTGAAGACTTGCCACCAAACTGCCTGCCTGTTAAGTATGTATTGTGAGAGGAACTGATGAAATAATGAGCCAAAGGATGGTCCATTTCTTGATACAATTCCAAACGGTCTAGGAAAACCGGGGCATTTTCATCTGACATCAAGTATCTGCAAAACCCATCACTCGATATGACACCTAGAAGGAAGAAGAAAGCACGGCAAATTACTACTAGAAATTCGTAGTGGGCAGGAATCAAACTGTCCCACGGAGCAGGGACCCTAACACAAAATCTATGTTCACACAGGCTTCTGCAAGCAAACAGAAGCTCTCCCCTTCCAGTGCTCCAAACTGACCAAGAACTGTGTCCCTGGTGCAAAATCTGCCACTGTGTTCCCAGATAACCAAAGAAAAAAAAGCAGGTGCCCACCTAGCTCAGCATCCTACGCCCAGCACTCACCATGGCAGACCTAAGGTGTCAAAAGGATGTGGAGGAGGCAAACAAGCAGTGACATCTCCTCAGAATACTCCCAACAATTTGTGAGCTTGCATGTGTGAATCTTCTACGGTTCTCTTCTCATTGTATTTCATACTCACAGTCCTGCCCTGACTGTGCTACACGGCTGTTCATCAGCCTGCAGCACGTGCAGAGACTGTTCTCCACCGACAAAAACACGCGGTGGTGTACCTGAAAACATCTGCACGTGTTCGTTTGCAAAGCGTTAGGAAAATCTGAGATACCTTCAAGTTCACTGTCTGAAATACAGGTTTACACCTTCACAATGAAAAGCGAGCCATTTTCTACAGTGAACATGGGACGTGCAGCAATTCAGAGGGCAGATTTCATAACACTTTTATTTCTTTGCTGTTATATACTTCATAAAGTATAAAAAATATAAATCAAGAGATACATTTTAATAAAAACAAGTTAATAATCAGTACTGCAATATCAGTTTTAAGTGGCCAACAGACTGAAAAATGATCAGGGGTAGGGAAGGAGGGATTACTCACAAGGAGTCATTGCAGGGAATAGTCATCTGGCACTAATTTGGAGACTGCTTTCCCTAAAGTCATGTATGACCACTCAGCTATTGTTAAGGCATAGGTTGCAGCAGTCTTGTTTTATTTAAGACAACTTTTCCCTTACAGAGAACTCTACTGATCCTGCTTTTCATACTGCTCCTAGCTTTCTGAAAAAAACCCTTTACTGGAGCTTAGATTTTCTGTGCGAGGTGTCAGCCAGAGGTGAACTGCGCTGGAACGTCTTACTCAAATCCTCTCAGCTGATTCTGACTTTTGGAAGAAGAGGGGGGAAAAAAGGGACAACATCTTCAACTTTAAGAATGTTTTAATTATGTCGACCACTGAGAATTTAAAAAGAGGATCACAAAGTATCTCAGATGATACACACTTCTAGGGCATCATCTAGCAGAAAAACATCACAGCTGAGCGGGTGTTTTAGAGAAACCAGATCTGAGACTGCAGTAACTCAGGAGCTCTGTGCTCAACAGATTGGCCTTTGGATTTTTGACACGAACTGATGGGTGGGAGAATTTAATTTTGTAGCATTCCTGAGCAGGGTCTGGTTACTACACTGTACAGCATTAACTTGTTCAGCTTTACTGACTCTTTCTGTTACTGAAATGTAACTGAGGAAAAGTCAGTTGCTTATTGCTACTGCCTTGTCTCTTAAACTACATGATTTACCAAAAAAAAAGGTGTTGAGCTTAATTACTTGGCTCAGCACCAAACTTATATCTAAGAAGGGGAAAAAGACTGCAGAGAACCACCACTGCTGAGATGAATTCTTGCCTTCTTTACATGCTAAGGTTCAACATGTTGTTATATGAAATCATCTCTCTATCCTATTGATTGCATTGGGATAAAAAAATGCATCAGTGAATACGAGGACTGTAAGAGGACACTCCTGGTGTTCTGTTGTTGCTCTCCATAACCCTATCCCTGCAGGAGGTTTACCACGTTTATTTAGAACCTCTTAGAAATATAAACCAGAGGAATAAGCTAAATAATTAGCCAAGATTCAATTAGTGGCTAAAAGAATAAGCCAGTATCATTCCCTTACTACAGTTCAGTGCTTGCAAAATCCTCTTCTTTGTGAATTACTGAACATTGCTTTCCAGTTCTGGATGAATTTTCCCCTTCATAAAAAATGTTTTTACATCTTCCATCCCAAATAGGTGGTAGCTACATTAGTACATCTTCCTCATTTTGGAAAATATGTAAAATACACTGGCATCAAAAGGAATCATACATGAGTGCCTTAAAAAAAGGGGGGGCGCGGGGACAGACTTGACTAAAACCAAGTAATTCATACTTGGAGAATTCTCCTTCATGTAGAGAGGAAGAGAAATAAGCTACACTGAGTGGAAAATCCTCATAAGGTTTATAAATGACTCCTAGAAAAGAGAAGTATCTCCCTCTCTCTCAGGTGATTCCTGGAAAGCCCATGCTTTCAGAGAACTAAAAGAGCAACCTATTAAACCCAGTGCACAGCGCAGTGTCTGGAGTAGCACACACAGCACAAGCTCTTCCTCTAACAGTCAGGTCAAAAGGAGTAGAGCACTGTACGGAATGGTGAAAGCTGCACATCCAGCCACAGACAGATTCCAGAAGTTTGTAGACTGAGGAAGACAACCTGGCTCAAAGAAGGTGAAAGGGGCAGGTTTTGCTGCGGAAGGCATTGCTGGTGTCAACGCCCGTGTTCATAAAACGACAGGGTCACACAGGGAAGCCAACAAGGCTGCAGCATTGAGCGAGAGATGCCTTGGGCTTTACTGAAGCAGTTTAAGATATTGCCTCCTGCTGTTGGCTTCCCGCGTCCTTCAGCAGCAGGGGCAACACAAGTGCGTGTGTAAAAGCGATTTGCCTCCCCAGTGCAGCTTGATACCTCATCTAAATGTCTGGTGGAAGTGGCTTCCTGTTAGGATGCCTGAAGGCCTACGGGCTTTGCAAGGCTGCAGTCTCCTCTGCATGCTGTGGTGACAGTAACTGCCAGCAAAACGGCAGAGAGATGGGGATAGCAGTATTTTTAATTCCTCCGATTAATACCAACACAGTTTTTCAGCAGAATGGCTATGAACGGGGAGCGAAGTTCAAGCCCTGACACCTCCAACACCCACAGCAGCTCAGGACACGAGCAGTCCAAGAGTGGCTTGGAGACACTTCCTGCAATCTTCCTTCTCAGAGAGAACGTTTTTCATAGAATCACGGAATGGTTTGGGCTAGAAGGGACCTTAAAGATCATCCAGTTCCAACCCCCCTGCCATGGGCAGGGACACCTTCCACTAGACCAGGTTGCTCCAAGCCTCATCCAGCCTGGCCTTGGACACTTCCAGGGATGGGGCATCCACAGCTTCTCTGGGCAACCTGTCCCAGTGCCTCCCCACCCTCTCTGGGCAGAACTTCTTCCTGATATCCAATCTAAACCTCCCCACTTTCAATTTAAACCCATTACCCCTTGTCCCTGTCCTTGTCCTGTCCTTTTCAATTCACCCATGTAAAACACCCCGTTCTGAACCAGGCTGCTGCCCTTAAGCACTATCCAGATGATATGAGAAGAAGGTGGGTGCATATCCAATGGCAGATGTGGTAATTTATTTTTTATTTCCACACAACACCTGTACAGCTTTGCAGTCTCTCTGAGACCTTCGCCATAACCACATCCATGCTGCCTGGTTGCTAGGGAGTCTCCATGTTGTTCCCCATTTACTCAATCCTAGCTTCTCCCATTTCGTATCAGGATGGCTGTCTTTGTAGCCACGCCGTAACTTGAAATCAGGGAAATATTCCTTCTACAAAAATCACTGCGTTTGTGAGGGGGAATATTTTTCAGCACATCAGTTTCCCGATGTAGTTCACTGGTTGGGCCCCTGGCCACAAAGAGTGTAAGCTCCCTTTGAAATGTTTGGATGCTTTGGAACAAATTCCCCAAATACCTAAAACCAGCGAATACTGAATTCCCTCCCACATTTACCTTTACTCTTCAAGACTTCATCTGGCTCATACGTCTCAATTATCTGCATTGCTCTTTTTGTGTCATAAAAGGGAAATAAAATTTCATTGAGCCGAGGATCTCGTTGATGCTAAGGTTAGAAAACAACAGAATTCAGCAAAACAATATAGTGCATGGCTAACATCCAAGAGCATTTCATTACTGCAGATGAGAAAGAAAGAAGTGGACATTTAAAAAAAAAACAAAAGCGCCCTAAAACTTACAGACTATTCAACAGTAACTTTAGCTTTAGACAGAAAACAAACTTATCTTTTGTAAGAAATCTAGGCAGTTTGACTGTAAAATCTTTTAAAAAACCAATCCAGTGCAATCGTAAAACTGGTCTTACTCTGTTCATGAAAATAAGGACTGCACGTGATACACGTGCAAACGAAATGTTGAAAATAAATCACTAAATCTCTCTTCTTTGTAATTTCTTTCTCCTCCTAATCTTTTGTGTAGGTCACGTAAACTGACAGACTGACCGATGGCGCTGTAATCACCTCTGCAAAAATGCATGTCTTCAGCAGTATCTGCAGCTAAAGTAAAAATTAAAAGTAAAATAAAGCTATACTGTAAGCAAATAATTTGAAACCCGAGTTTAGAAATATGCAGCTAGTGATGATTATTTGTGGATCATGAAAACGTGTTATTAACTATTCAAAAAACAATGTAGGTTCTTAGAAGAAATGTGTACAAAAGAGCTTCACAGCATCATCTCTTCAATCCACAGTAATTTACAATATTAGGATTTCATAATATATGTAATATTTAGATAAAATTTAGCAGTGATTTCTAACACACTACTAAAATTCAGAGTTTTTAAGTTTTCACTTAATAGTGTGTTATGTAACTCTTGCTTTCTCCGTGCTGGATTAGAGCTGCACACTGTGTGCCTGATTCTCCATTAAACGAAAATTAAACCCAGAATTGAACCGAGTAGTGGCATGTAAGCAGATGCAATAAAACAAAGAAATAAATATGGCTGTGAAAACACTCTTTTACCCCAGTAGGTGCACAGTTTTCAAGCTTTAGTTTAAGCAGAATTCAGAAATGTAACAAGCCACCCCCTTACTGGTGATCAATAATTTGGAGTGGACAGGATGGTGTTGATACGGCTTGGCACAGCACTATCAGCATTTGCTGTAATTCCTCATGTATCAAATTTTTGATATTTTTGAATGAAAAAAGCAATATCCAATCAAAAATAAGCACTTGATCTCTTTTCTTCCAATCAATATATTGGTGCATGTGCTTAATTAATTCCAAGAAATTACAACCAATGCCAATTTAATCATGCAATTAAGGAGGGATTTTCAAGTAATGGTAGTGACAGTCTGCAGCTTCTAAAATACAGCAGGTTCATTCACTACAGATTGGCTGCCTGGATATCTAAGTAAAACTCGGATGAAATATGATATGAGAGCAGATGGATGCAGGACATAACTTGCTAAGCAGCACACGAGGGCGACACAACACTGGCATGCAACGGTACAGTCTACTGCAACAAACGATAAGCTTTATACCATTAGTGACAATACACCACTTCAAAAATTTAAGAAAGAGTAGGGAAGGTTCTTAAGAAACATGCTCTTCTCCACTCTCCTCCTCCTCCAGTTAGTCATAAGCAAATGGGAGAAAATAAATGGGATAAAGCAAAAAGTCTGCTCTTGAGAAAGAGTCGCAGAATTATCGGAAGGCGCTAAGAGCAAAATATGCTTCCTGCAGCAATGATCACTGCTGATTATCCATTTGAACAAAAGCATGTCTTTATGTTTACTTAGTTTAAAAAAATAAAACAAAATAGACAACTGATGAAGTTTCACTTAAAAAACAGGCAGAATGCTTACTAGGGTCTCCTGGGGAAATGTTCTGCACTACTGAGGTTGTTGGCACAGGGAAGCGTAACACAAATGCTACCCAGAACTAAAAGCACAAAGCTTGATCTAGCAAGACAACATGCCCTATGACTAATGGTTCATGTCCAACAAAGTGTCATTTGATTGTTCTAGTTACCGTATTAGACAGGGCACCCTTACATTCTTCACCATATGAGGGTGAACCATCTAAAAACACGGGGAGAAAGCGTGTCTGTATGGTTTTGCAAGGAGAGAAGGATCATTTAGCACCCCCAGCCTGGCCTCCGGTCTCCTCTTGGAGCAGACACAAACGCAGAGCTGATAGCAAACAACGTGCCGGAACCAATTTTGCCTCTTGACTTTGTCCGGCTGCAGCAGCAAGAAGGGTGTCCTTTTGCGGAGATGAAAAGCAGAGGGAGACAGAAGGAGCAACCAAGTGGAAGGGAAGGAGAGAGGAAGAGCAAGGAAGTGGAAAAGAGCGGGGCAGCGGGAAAGTGGGCGATTGAAAAGGATCTCCTCATAACTCCTTTCCGGGAGAAAGAATGAGTCTTGGTCAGACTACTGAATTTCCACCTTGACAGTTACTTGCCTTATTAATTTACTGCTGCAAATGGGTGGCAGGAGCAAATCTCAATAGCAGCGATTTCAGTTTTATTTTTTTCAAAATCTGACTTTAAAAAAAGGCGACCTAGACAAAATACTTGGTGCTTGACAATAATTAAATTTCTAAAACTTCCCAGAAGCTTTAATATTGATAACAATTAAGTCAGCCGTCAGCCAGCAGCATTCAAAAGTCAAATAGAGACAGCAGTTTGGAAGAGCTCCAGGAAAGCAGCTCACTCTCCACTCATACCCAGTAACATAACGTCATGCTCCCTTAAAAACCCACACCACTTAAAGCTTCTGCAGCGTGCCTTGGAAGTTACTGAATTCAAAATAATTTAGATTAAAGACTCTCGTGAAGAACTGCTCTGCCAAGTAACTCCCCTCTCCTATATAATGATAATAATCTTTTTAAATTTTCCAGCATTAAACATCACTGCTAATTGCAGTGTTGGCCAGCTGTCAAAGGGACAGAAATGATCACTTCAGGAGGGAGATTCTGGGTCATTTAGTGCCTTTCAAATCACAACCAAAACTTTAAACTCGATTTGGAGGCCAAAAGACCTCCAACGGAGTCAATGGCATTACTTTCAGTCATCAGAATGAACGTCCTACTCTATAAACCCACTTGACTATTTTTCTCAGCTCGGGTCACCAACTAAAGGGCCCACTACAGGATTTCCAATTGCAAAACGTGTTATGTCAGTAAGAACGTAGACAACAAGATGTGTCTTTCTCCAATACTGCCCACAGAAGAAGGCTGCTAATTCTGTAAAAAGAACCGCTAAAACAATACAAAACTGAGAGCACAACAATTCAGTTTTGGTTTTTTAATCAGCAGCTGGCAGCAATTCTTCAGAAGTTTAGGCTTCAAGGAAGCACAGGTAAATAAAACAATGACAGGGATCAGTTTTTAAATAATACTAAAATAGTAATTTACTAAAAAATGAGGATTAACACAAAAAATCAGAAGGTAATGTCATTCAAGGTGAGGACAGGGCTGTGTGCTTCAAGCGGTGAGGTGCATCTATCACTACAAGTGAACTGGGAGGCTGAGGTACTTTCCGGAGATAATTTATAATTTAAATCACAATGTTATCCTTTCTCTCTTCAATGCAGAAGCAAAAATGACATGCCTTAGGTATGACCCCAGTCCTGCACACATTTAGACACTGAACTCTGCAAATAACTGTGACAAAAGAACATTTCACAGTAGTAAGATTAAGCATATGTTTCAATTTGCTAATAAAGAGAACTGTGTATATGAACTAAGGCCCCAAATACGTAACCATTAGTCCTGAAGCTGTTAACCTTCTCACTGTCTTTTCTTTTGGAATACTCTTTCTACATGTAATTCAGGTTTGGTGAAGAGTAAGGCATGCGCTCCCTACTGAAAAATAAAACTATGTTCCGTATTTGATATATGGGGAACTTACTGCTTGAATCTTCACACAGCAGTATCAGATGTATAAAGATATATTAAATAGATTTATAACTGGTAAAATAATTCTAGATTGAGAGTTTTTTGGTAATGAACCCAGTCCCTAAAAGATCATGCAGAGAGGTGAAGCGGCTATCCATGTTCCAGATGACAAGAATCTACTGGTACAAAACCCAGCTGAATGTGCCCATTTTCCATGTGCATGTTCCTGTCAAATCTACATAGCACGTCTACTGTTGCAATTCTGAATGACTGAGTCTTCTCTATAACGTACTGTGCTTTAGGAATATAAAAAAATCCAACCCCACACTGTTTTATTGAACTACTTCGCACACGCACAACGTTTTTAAGAAATACTAAACACTCCTGCCAACAAGTGCATTCTGGAAATACAGCAATAAAAATATTTCCTCTTATCCTGCACACATAGTATTTTAAAAATCATATACAAACTCTTAAAATATCCTCTTAGCTCTTAGATTTGTAATAGATTGAAGTAATACTGTTGAGAAGAATCAAAATGCTGTTTACGAAAGCCTACTTCATTTTTTCTATTATTCAGGAGGATTAGCAGATATATTCAGCTGTGGCCTACAGGTAAAGTAATTGCTTATAATAAAATACTGGGTGTATTTTAGTTGAAAATGCATTGAATATAACAGTATCAAATGCATAAAACATATATAACACACAACATAACACAACAGCAAGTGATCAACAGATGCAATCTGCAAAGCCAACATGTAGAAAGCACAACAACGTACAAGTGTGGAGCTGATTTTTGCACCTGGATGTTACCATAATGGAAAGATCAGCGGCAAAAAAGCGTAGCAAAAAATGGCATGATTCATGCAATGGAAAGATTGGAAGAAGCAAGCCACTGCAGACAGACTTGTATGGTAGTTAATGTATGAAAAAGCTTACTTCATTTAGAAAGCTCACTAATTGGTCTACCGTTAAATAATCAGTTTTGTCTCCATTGCTGAAAAGAAATTTATTAGAGAATGTAAGTTTTCATATACGATGCTACAGTAGGTATGATTTACATGTTGACATTGTTGATACTTTTAAAACCATTCCCTTTTCTACCTGAATTAGCTCTACGATCTCAAAATGAACAGTCACAGAAAACATACTAGCTGTCTACGCTTGACACAGTACATCTCCCATACTTCCTAGAACTTAACAAACATGACTTCATAAAACAACATGTAAGTCCTCCAGCTGAGAATACATCGAGGGAAGAAACTTTATAAACTTCAAATTTCTTATTTAATTAGTTCACATACTGCATTAATCATCTAAAGGAGCAAGTTAAACTTACAGTAGTTAGTAAAGCCAATGCAAAAAAAAAAAAAAAAAGGTTCCAGGTGTTTCCTCTAACTCATGTAAAAGTTTCTCTAAAATAGTGAACTTTTACATTAACGATCTGAGAGGGAAGGAAGGGGAAAAACATAGACCCGAGTTTGTCTTAAAATACTGCTGATGCTACTGGGATTCAAGGTTAGATAATCTTTACAGAGTTCTGTCATTATTAGATATGAACTAAAAATACAGCAAAATGAGTTTAAAACAAGATTATATTAAATTTGAACTTACATCTTCTTAAAGAGGTCCTCTATGTCAGTTCGGGGACATATCTTTTGGGTGAGCTCATAAAATTTCTCGTAAGTAAATGCTGCAGGCTCAATTTCATCATTCTGCAACAAGATGCAAAGGTACATTTACCCAGCAAAAGAGGGGGCTTACATGCTTTTTTCCCCAAGAGCATATCTTATATCAGACAAAGCAACCGGCAACTGTTTTATACGTGTACTAGTATACGCTTACCTAGTTTCTTTTGTATTTTCTGAAAACTGTTCTTAATTCATCCTTATCATAGATCTGTTTGATGTGCTTATACTCTGACCTCACAGTAACATTAATTCTGCATAAACACAGAACTGGAAAACAGTCTTCACTGTAATTCTGAAGCTTACAATAAACCCCCCCAAAAGTCCAAACTAGCGTACAAACTTCAGGATACTTATACTGAGGCCAAAGAACATTGAGAAGAAGTTCCAGCTCTGGCACAATGGTGTTAAAAAGCAAAGAAGTTCTCATATAGGGGCACGTAAAACTTCCATGAGGGACAGAACTCATGGCTAACACATTCAGTATCATGTTCTCGTCTGAACAAGATGAGAACTTCAACAGTGAGGAAAAATTTCATCTCAGGTGCCAGGCACTGCTATGGCTGGGGATTTGTGTCCTTCTACACCCCTCTCCTTGCTGGAGACAGCAAGATGCTGAGCCCGCAGGGCTGCCCCTTGCCAGCCTCACCAGGAGCTGGCTGCAGTCAGGCCAAGAACCAAGGGCTGGAGTCTCCAAAATGAAAGAAGGGAGACTAGGCAGGGACTAAGGCCAAAAAAACCCTAGCTGTGACTGTAACCAGCCATCACCTCTCTGGGGCTGCTGGCAGGGTCTCCTGCTGTGAGTGGGACAGAGACGGATAGCAGTTCTCCAGTGGAAGGCAGCAAATTGCAGGAGGAGTCCAAGAAACGCAACTGAGAGGACAGCATGCAACAAAAAAGGTGTTATGTGCATATTCTGTGCTCATATGCTTTGTATAAATAAATGAACCCTAGTCTGTTATGGAAAAGAAGGGAAGCCTGATCGAAGACGTTTAATGACCACTGTGTCATACAGATTTAATTACATTTTGGTTTTAGTAAACAACCTACGGTGACTAATAAGTTACTCATGAACAATAGGCATGTTTTTATGTGATGCAAATGACTTAAATCACAGCTACAAATGTTAATGATTCATCAATTTATTAGTATACAAGAAAGTTATTCAAAACCACGAAATACCTTTCCACTGGGAAGACCTAATTCTTTAAGTGCCTGAAAGATCACTTTTTCTGTTTTACCTGATGCAAAGGTTCTGGTAATGCTAAAACAAAAAAGAGTGGGGAAAAAAACAAGAGAAACGTTAGTCACTTTTTAAACAGTTCTCTCTTTTTCACTTTTACTGCCAACATTTTCCTCTGGCTTCAAAAGATGAACGTAAGCATCTTCCAAGTAATAGTGCAGTTGAAAAAGTGCTCTAAGCTCCACAGAGCAGCACTGCTCTGCCTACAAGCTATCCATTTGAAAATATATCAAAATAATGAACTGCAAAAAGAAGAAAAGAGGTGTTTTTTTCCAACATACTAGGATACAGAGTCATGCAAAGCATTGTTCTGCTGACTTCTTAAAACTCTACGCATAGACGAATGACTGCGTTTAAAAAGTAGCAGATTCTAAAAGTGAGGAGACTCCTGTTTCCAGCCATTCCTGGCTGTGGTGACTTCCTTTCCTTTCCAAGCATTGACCTATGCCTCCCAGGTCACCCATAAGGTAGGCATGAACCACTCCCCGTGGCACCTTCCTTGCCTTCCTTCTCAAGCAGTCGCTGCCGGCAAGAGACTCCCAGCTGCGTGCCACATCTGATTTCCCACTCCCTCGCCAGCTGCAGTGCTCACTCCTCCCTTCGAATGCTCCCCCACCTTACAGCCATTAGGAATATCCCTGTTTTAGACAATGCTACTCATGTCTAACTCATTTAGGCAGGTTTCAGCTGCCACTGAAGTATTTCCACCAAAGTGATTAATATCCTCTTCCTTCCACAAAACGGGAGTGGTTCCACTATGCGTACGATTGACAAACTGGTTTCACTTGAAATGGAATAAACTCAATTAAAGCTTAGCTATTTGGTATGATTGAGGTGAAAGCCTTTGGTCTATTTCTGTTTCCATTTGAGACAAGTCTGAATAACCTCTAACTCTGAAAAAGTAGATCCAAACTTGACAGCCCTCCTTCCTTCTGCTTAGGGTCTAAGCTAAAATCATGTGCCCTACAACCTCTTGATTTTAGTGTCTTAATCTTGAGAGAAAAACTGAAGTCCGTATCCAGCATCTATTTCTAATGCTAACAAAATCTGATCAGAATACATCGTGCTCTCTATCATCAAGTGAGACAAACATTTGCTGGGACTTTTTGCTATCTCATGCATACTAAATGATTTCACGTGGTGAAAGATGTGAAACAAACTGTTGCTGTTATTTGTTGCCATAGCAATTCAAGGTTGTTTTATTCTCCAAAACACTCTCAACTGCCTATGTAAATATTTTCATACTAATAAAATTAAGATCAGGAAGTGAAAGAGCTAAATGACAAAATAATATTTTAACAAATCTTGGCCAATTTTTTTATTAGTCGGTTCTTACAAGAGTTAGCTTTCTGTGCCCCTATTTAGGCACCTAAATATGTTATTTGATTTTCCAAAGCTGATAAGCACTGAAATGTTTTCACTGAAATAGAAGACCGGGTTTAACTTAAGCTTCTTTAAAAAAAAAATCTCAGGCATCTATTTTTCTACTAATTCTAAACCACAGAGTAATGTTAGCTTTACAATTCACAACCTGTCTTTAGCCCTGTAAAAAATTCTACATCTGTTCTAATGAACTGGGCCCAAATAATAAATGTCATGTAAAATGTGTCATATTGGCGTAAGTAATTAATCAGAAATTGCAAGCCAAGATTCCGTGGCTGCAGGGAACTTATTTTTGATGCCATACTATTTTTTATTTCACCAAAGATGAAAGCAAACATAGCAGAAATTTTTAATGAGAGCAGTCTAGAAAAGACTGCATGAATCCAAAAAAGATTGTAAAAATACAGCATGAAACTTTCATTTTGCTGAGGATATTGTAAATAAAACTGTTTTTCCCTCTATCAGAAGAGACTTCATCCCAGCAGGTTTACATTCACCTTGTTGTACACCTTGGAAGAAAACCGGGCTGCTTCAGATGAAAGCAAGTTACTGGCCAACAGATGCTACAGGTGTTCACTCCTCATGTTCTACAGCAGTTTGGGGCTCTTTATGGGAACATGTCAGTGTGCTTCCTCACAGAGACTTAAAATACCTCCCAAATCTGAGACGGAGGTGCATGAATCTATCATGCTTGTTGATGGATTAAATGACTTGGTTACTTCAGACCTTCACCACTTCCCAACTACTACTTCAAAACTCAAGCCCACACATAAACTGTTCAAATCAGCCTTTTATAATGGCTCCACCGAATTTATCAGTTTGGACAGAACTGGAAGTACCACTGCCTACACTGAACAAGAAATCACCTAAAACTATGACTTCCAACCATCATCTAAATATTGAAACAGATTTCTTCCAGGTGCTCCTGGAGTAATCAATACAAAACATACTTAGTAAAAAAGTGTAATTTCAAATTAATTTAATTAAACTGCTGTAAAACAGATTTAAGCCTAATTTGTCATAGTTTAGCTTTTTCTTTTTTTATATAAATTTTCATAGTTATAAGCTAAATTAGCTTAAATCCCTTTAAATGTAGTTATACAAGGGATAAGCATAGATTGAGCAAAGTTAATTTCTAAACAGGCTCTAGCTGAACAGGTGCAACTTGCACATGTAGAAAATCCATTTTCTGCCAACAGAACGCTGCAGAAACCAAGCAGGTTGGGTTTTTTTTTAACAAACTCTGACCTTTTCAGTCATCATTTACAGTAGCGTTAACATCTGAAAATACAAAATATCATGCCAAATGCCCTGTCCTTGCAAGATCTCTAAGATGTAGTTCTAGACTCACATTGTTAAAATTTATTACAGCTCAAACTGCTAAGGTTTTTGCACTACTTACTGCCAGAATTTCTTCTCTCCCAAACACAGTAGGTTGATAGTAACTGATATATACCCTGGAGCACATTAAAATCTAAAAGTAGCTGAGAAGAATCTTCATGACTTTGCAACGTCCAACTGTTCTAATGAGGAGTCAGGAATATTTATGCCATAATGCCACCGACAGCCTAAGGAGTTTCACCTTCTCAAGGCTCATCACTCTCTATGGCCATAGGGAGTATAGCTGCAAAAATCTGTCTCAAACCTGGAAAGAAATGCAAGGAGGTCTGATTTCTCAGGCAAGATTATTTTTTCTCAGTGTTTTACTGCACTTCTGTGTAAAAATGAAATAAAGGTGACCTTGTGCTACATGTTCCTACAGCTTAACTGATGTGCTGGGTATTGTGAGAGAATAACCTTCCTATCGGTATCCTCAGAGCTACAGCAAATGCTGAGGAGTCCCTGAGCTGCAGGAGGAGGCGGAGGGTTGATGAAGCAGGGCTGGCTAGATAACACTGTATTTAAGAACAGGTATATGGGAAGGGCTGACCACGGCAATCTGGAAGTCGGTTGAAGGGCAAGCATCAGTGGTTTAAACCAGCAGAAAGAGTTCCTACCGGGAGGCTTGGGTAAACAATGTGAAACTTGGAGCGTCTTGCACAGCAGAGCCATTCTGCACACATTTCCAGTGCTTCCCTGGCTTGCCTTCCTCACACACATATCCCCTTATGGTCCTCCTGTTACCTCGTACCCCTCCATGCTCCCTCTCTGCACGAAGTGTTCACAGGATGAGGGGGGAAGCGATGCAGTCCCCTGCATCCCAGGCTGCACAGTGCCGAGACACCTGGATGCCTGTGTCCCACTTCATGGTACGGAGCTGTTGCTGGATGAGGCTACTCTCACAGTCTTGCCATCCTCTATCAGGGCTCTGGTTCACCCTCTTGTCCAATGTAGGTCCACAGAGCAGACTCATCTTTTCCCCTTCATTCACATTCCTCCTCTACCCCTTTCCTCCAGCCTCTCACTGACATCTCTCCTAATCCTTTCCAAGGGTGACACAGTGCTTCCTGGATAAGCCCCCCAAAGTCGCTACATTTCACCCACACCAACACAGTGCATTCCTTGGAGCATCCAGAAGGAAAGAAGATTCAGCTTCCCTCTGCACAACACGGCATAGGAAAACCTTACAAATTTACACTAAAAACTACTTTTGCTGTAAATTAAGCTGCTAGAGACTGATTTATGTCGCTACCTGGAAATTGTGCAAATTTGAAAAAAACAAACTCTTGGAAACTGAAACAGCTTTAAGAAAAATGATTCAACTTAAAAAGACCATTTAAGCCGTCCAAAAATCAAAACTGCAGATCCGGCAGGAAGGTTTAATACACTGGAACCGGTGGACTGGACTCCAGCAGGACGCAGGCTTGTCTGCATGTGCAATTCAGTGTGCTGAAGCTCAGTGGGAGGATTTGCGCCTTGCTAAATGCGAGGTAGAATATTTCAAGGCAGAAACAGTCTCAGACAAGCTAGCACACTATAAATTCATAGTGAGGAATAAAGCTGTGTGTTCAAATACAGGTATAAAGCTCTAGTCTTGAAAATAAATTGTAGTATGCTCCCTCATCTTTACCCCTTCAGCTGACATCCCTCATAGCACTTCTGCACAGAAGGTGCCTCATGGCACTCCAGTTCAAGTTTAAGAAATAAGCAGGGGCTCGGCAATGTGAAAGTTGAAAGGTTAATACACCAAAGCAGCCTTAACACCATCAAAGCGTCACTTGAGTCATGAAACTAAAGAAACCTGGAAGGCACCATGGCAGGCCTTTTGCCTTTCTTCAGATTCCATAGAGGCAAAATCCTCTGTTCCTCCCTTGAAAAAATGCTCTCTAAGGCTTATCTTATTCTCCTTCTTGCTCTCTTCTCCGAATTTCTACTTATGAAAAATCAGCATGCCCGAAAAAGTGTGGTTTTCCAATACTGCGTGAAGAGGAAAGGAGCTCAATGTATCAGCAAGAATTAATTTCTAGAGCAGGAGAGGGGAGAATCACTGTCTAGCCAGAGAAGACTGAAAATCAGTAACTTGTAACAGTTAACAGCTGTACAGAAAGAAATACACCTGTTGTAGCTTTTCTGTTACTGACAACTAACCCAATGATTCATGTACCGTGCGGAGAAAACCAAGTATCATCCTGGGGGTTTCTATAAAAGCAAAAGTATTTTTGGCAGAGCTATAGTTGCATCTTTTACAAGGAACTACATTTTAAAAAGTACCTTTTTGTCCTCTACTTAACTGGCCTGCAAGTTTTTATGGTTCTTCTGAAAAGTATTTTATGAAGTTTTACAGCTGAAAAACCATCCCAGACTTTAAGAAGTTTTAAGATGAGAAAACTGATGTTCTTAGCTCTAAGTAATTTTGAAAACAGTTATAAGCACTCATATCTTCATCCCGGTAAGAGGTCCTGCCTAGTTTACCTAGTGGTTATGGAACTCAGCTAATCTGTCTAGTTCTGTACTTATTTTTACAGATGTTTTAGTAGTAAAATTAATATTATATTTCATTATCAAGCTACAGAACTTTATTAACATTATACAGTCAGTGACTCTTAAAAATTGGAACTCCCAATTGTGCTTACCTCCGAACTGGAATTTTCCCATTTGTGTTTGTTAGAAAGGCCAGCTTCATCCAGCTGAAATTAAGAAAGAAATATTCTTTAAATACTATTTATTAAAATTGGGATCTAGATACTCATATTTAGAACACAGTTATTGCCCCATTTGTGAAATTAGTACAAAAAAATAATTCTTCTGTTATAAAAAACATTTTTCTGTAACGTTTTAGTGCTTGAGGCAGAGCAGTTCTGTAGCTGAAAAGGCAAAAAGCAGCCCAAAAGAATCAGCACCTCAATTAAAACAAGTGTGAAGACAAGAAAGACTCATGGGGTTTGTCTGCATATGCATCAGTGAAAGAACAAACCAGACAATAACTAAAACATACAATATCAGTAAATCAAATGCATGTTTATAAATTCTCTTATAATTGCTCCTGGGCAGTACCAGATAGAAACTTGAGACCTCTTCAGGTCACAATGAAATGTAAACACTAAACTAATTGAGCACTGTTTGCTTTATTACGCTGGTTTGTCATTGCAAATGTTGATTTATGAAAAACATTTTTTTTTTTAAATTCCAAGAAGGAAAATAGAGGGACAGAAAAATTAAGGAGAAAGGGGAGGAAAGAAAGTAACTTACTGTTTCTTGAGACACGTCATTGGACTGACATTGTTCGCCCTAAAATTATGTATGATGGATCCAAGCCCTTCTACCCATTGCTGAAAAACAGGAAATACAGAAACACCAAATCAGAAAACTCGAAGAGGGAAAAAGTAGGAAAGTTTGTCATGGGGGAAGGCATTTGTTCCTTGCAGCTATGGATAATGTTGACAACCTGGGCTGAGGGAAAAAACCTGCCCAATTCACAGTCTATAACACCAGGGAAACGTCCAGCCGCATTTTACCCATTACTATTTCATCCTTCACTAAACAAAGTGAGTGTGCTTTCCAGTCTTCCAAGCACCTCGTGTAGCATCAGCGGTAGTATTAACACAGTTCATTGCCAGCCAAGGCAAGTGGTCCATTGATTGATTTATTAAGCCTTCTATTTATAGCCTGTGCAAACATATGCCTCCCTTTTCAGTTGTGGCCGGCAATATTAGCTATTACTAAGCAGTATGTGATGACATACTTAACCGGTCCAGTTTTAGAAAAGGAACAAACCAAAACATGAATAAGCTAGAGCAACCCACAGGGAGGCACAATTGTCCTGCGAGGCTGACCTCATCTAACACCCTGTTACATAGTCAAGTCCTGCTTGCTTTCTTCCTTAAAAAGCAAAACATTCCAGTAATCATTGAGAAGACATTCAGCCAACTGCAGCGTTACAGCACTTACTTATGTAATTCGTTTTCATGGATATATTTTTCTACTATAGTTTGTACCCAAACTTTGCAGTACTGTATAGAAGCAGCCTAAGGATTAGGTCCTAACACTCACACTCACTGATTTCAGCAAGAATCCTGGCAGGATAAAGCCATACGAAGAGAAAAAAATGACAGCACTACAAGCCAACTTCAAACTCATTTATACTATTGTAATACTAGGATTACTCAACAGATAATTTACACTGGTGGAACTGAGACGGGATTTGGTCCACTGCTTAACATTAACCTTATGAATAAAGAAGCTTCTTGCTTCCGGCCAAATTCTGCGCATGCAGCTTGAACTGACTTGGTCAGGATCCAGAATTTGACACTTATAAATAGATGTAGATGAGTATATTTTTTCTTTTCATGAATGAGTGCTGTACATCTGCCAAACATGAAAAAACCCACCATTTATATAGGAGGAATACTAATGTCTTTGGAAAACGGCTTATTGTAAACTGGACACAGTAAATCCCTACGGGCTAAAACAAGGTCTAAGGTGTCAATTCAGCAGATAAACACACTTAAGCAGACCATTTTACTCATGAGGCACTGCAAGTACATCACAGACTTCTTTTTAAACAAGAAATTGTTAACCAGACTCCCTTAAAAACAGATCTTATAAATCTACTTTGCTTTAGGAAAAGCAACCCTATATTAAGACATTTATTAATATTTGAATAATTAATTCTGAATTATTCTTTTTAAGAAGCACTGCATAAAATATGCATACAAATAGAATAAGTTTGTATCATTTGAAACACTAAGTCTGACATGAGAACAGCCAACATTTGGGGTTTTCTCAGGTGTGTTTTTGTGCCTGAAAACAACCCACCACCAACAGTCTGCCCTCGCATTTCTGCTTTCCCGTCTGCATGAATAAGATGACTTAGTAGTCACAGGATGGATGTACTAGGGATATAAAGAAAACGGTGTTCATGGGGAAAGCTAATAGCATTTATTAGAACTGATATAGCTGGAAACCACTGCCAGACTTCGGGGACACATACCTTTTCCTACAAACATTCCCTCACATAGGATGATACAGGAAGAGTACCTGTGATGATTTCAGGATAAACGCCTGAACCAGTCTCCCGCATATTTCAATCTCCTAGAACTCCTGAAATTCAACCATCGTCATTCAATTAACATCAACTATTGGCATTTGCTTTTTGTTTGTTTGTTTGTGGGTTGTTTGGGGTTTTTTTAGGGTTTTGCTTTTTGTGGTTTTTGTTTTGTTTGTTTGGTTTTTTGTTTACAGTTTGTTGGTGGGCTTTTTTTAACAGTAAAATCTAACATTACTGCTGCATTAACGCTGTCACAGTTTATACAAAAATTCATCCCTGTATGATCTGGATTAGTCTGTAGTCCCCTTAAAAGCCCCTGACCTTTCAACACTGACCCATAAAGTAAAATGCCATATGCTCAAAAATCCCTTGCAAAATTAAATTGTGCAAAGTGCATGTTGTGAATAAGCTTCAGTCTTTCAAAACTGCAATTTTCTATTGCTGCTAAAAAATGCTATTGGTGCAGTACTGGCAATGTCACCATTTTCAACAGGAAATAAACACACAGAGACAGAGATTGATCCTGATTTGAAGGCAACAGATTGCAACTACAGCAGAGATAACAAAATCAAACATTTAAAAGTAAGGTTACCCAATATTCAGTTCTGAAGTCACTTTTGTACATTGAGAACAGCTGCCAAAAAGGAACACTGCTAGAAAAAACACAAGTATAGCGAGAAATCAATACGCTGAACACTTACCAGGGAATTTCTTTGCAGGAATTGTCCTGATGATCCCCACTTTAGAGGACTCGCTAATCTTTTTTCAATGATAATGCCCTTTTCCTGACAGATACCAAATCAGGAACTGCATTCTGTTACACCCAAAGAGCACAGAACTACAGGCAAACACTGGTAAGCCACAAAAGCATGACATCCCTGCTGGCACCAGAGAGGGGAGCAACCTAGAGTCTGTCCGTTGATGAAGCATCTTTATATTGGCACAATGTCCCCCGGGCAAGACATGGCAGTTCGAGACACGCATTTGCCTGTCTGTTACCACACAGCTGCACTACAGTGGAGCATCTGGCCGCTTGTACTTCAGTTCAGGGGTAAAGCCGTTTCTGGAATGTTTGTGCAGATATTCCCCACGGTTACCAGGTGGCCCCGAATTAACTAGGAATAAGAGAGCTGAGGGCAAAAAAAATGCTTCTGGATTGTGAACATACTATATAGAAGCAAAATGACATAAGATGAAAAAATTTCCTCACCCATCGATTAACAGACAGACTCCTTGCCCTTCTGAGCCAGAATAGTCTCCAAATAGCAAATTTCAAGGCACTGTGATCCAGTGCACATATATACACAAAACATCCAAAGCCTGAATTCTCTAACAAATGTCAAGCTGACAATACATTGCTTCTCTGACAACAAACCATTTCCAGATTTAATGTACAGGTGTCTGATGATCTTGTGGGAGGAAGAAGAACTCAGATTTTTCTCACCTAAAACACTACGAAAAATATGGCAGAAGCCTTGCTTGTGTGCTGTGAGAGAACTCGTTCTACAGATGAAGCTGAAAGACCTGTAAGCTTATGAAAGTTAATGGGGATAAAGATCCTCAACTCTCTTCTTTCATGCTCAGCGTTTCCAAATCCCTACCTCTCCAGAGGCGGAATATCCTGTAACAAGATGAAATTTGGAAATAAGGCAGATAGGAGACACTTCACTTGGGTCTTACAGAAAGCAAAACTACAAAATGTTTATTGACAGAAATACAGGATACTTTGACTCTCACTGATGCCAGTGCTAAAGATTTTCAAATTTTCAAAATATGGCTCACTACCTTTAACCTGTCAGTGTAACTCCCCAGATACCAAGAAGTACTCCATATTCACATAAAGGAGGAATCCAGGCCCTGATATCTAATCCTAGAGAAACAACAACCATGAAAAGAAACAAAACCAAAGACAAGCCCACTTTAAACACAGATCCTTAGGCTGACACAAGAGGCCAAAATCTAAGTACGCTGCAGGCTGGAATAAGCAGAGCGTGTTGTTTTCCGCTAACATGATCCCACACTGTCAAATATCTCTGTAAGGAGGGGGAGCAAGGAAAACTGATCAAAGCAACACTCTCTCAGCTTTTGCTGTGGTACCCAAATGCTCCTGAGGCACTTAGTGACCTCGCGTTAGCTGGGGTTCATCGACGAAACACAGGCAGGAGTGGCAGGGTGCACAGATGTGTTTGACCTCTCAGCTCTCTTGTAGCCATTGACCTCTCATTTAGGAGGGTTAAAAAGGGCAAAAATTATGAAAGGCTAAAAATCACGGTAACCTCCAGCTCATGAAATTCTAGACAAGGTCACCCATGGCTTATTTATGGATGAGGTCAGTATTATTCAGTCCTCTGGAGATGATTTTACCTTCACGTTTTCAGTGCAGTCTCTCCACAGCTGCACTCCACTGAATACAAGAATTGGGAATGCTGGGAAGACAAGGAGGCATTGCCCTCTGATTTTGGAATTCTGTGCCTGGTGTCAGAGTCAAGGGCTTGATACCTTGAAGGTTCAGGAAACCCACGAAGAATAGCACCGTGTTTCTTGATGCTTACCAGGACAGACATGGCCTGGCAGGATTCCTGGGTGCCCTGCCCTAACTCAGCGATGCTGGGGCCAGCAGACGTGCCTCTTCTCCCAACGCAGATGTCTCAGAAGTAATTTCCATTCTGTGAAAACTACCATACCTCTAACATCCGAGACAGCAAAAGCAAGGAGACTGGAGTAGCGACGGTGTAAAAACCCACCCCTACCTAACCAACTGCAGCACAGAGTTGGGGGATATTGCTGTGAAAATTCTGTTACAAAGGTATAAGGGACCATTCTGACTTTCAAGTATTTCACCTGGAAAGCTGAGGCACACAAACACTCTGGACTGGGAGTTCCTGATGTGTCCAGACTGCTTCCACCCTTCGACAAAGTTTTCCACCCCTGAATGACTTTTCCAGCATTGGAGGGGTCTACTCTGAAAGTGGCTGGAAAACTCACTTCGGCTGCTGTATAGAGACTAAGACAAACACAGTGGAGCTTTACACAGTGAAATCAACTTCCTGGCTGTGGAGTACCAGGGCTGAGTTTTCAATTTACTGATAACTCCAAATGGTATAGCCAAGAAAGAACATGAAAAAGCAGAAAAGCAAGCACACTGAAATCACAGATGCTTAACTACAGGCTGGCTAGGATATGAAGATTTCTCTAGAGAACAGGGTATGACATTCTTGTCACAGGGCTACCTGAACCTGTGAGCAGCGGTCATATATTTAAGACAGTAATAGTTTAGAAATG